CAGGTGGGACCCAGCCTGGGAAGTCCAAGGATTCCCACCTCACATGTGCCCACTTCCTCCAAGGGGAAGCTCTCGCCTTCTGTCCCCACCAGGATCCGGAGGCTCTCTTCCTCCTGGAGGAGAGACAGAGGGAGGACAGATGAGGGTAGGAGAAGATCGGGCCCCTTGCTGGCTCCTTCCTGCAGCCTCTGAGCCCCAACACCTGGGAGGTCAGACCCCAGACATCCAGAACTAGAGGCCAGGCCAGCATCAAGTTGGCCGATGGCCAGGTGACTCCCGGCTGCATGAGGCCGAGCACACAGCCAGCAGGGTCGTGGTGAGAGGTGAGGCTCCACCAGGTAACCAGCCAGGAGAGGTGCAGAAGCAGCCTTGGGGCCTCGGGGCGCCTGCTGAGGCCGGAGGATGTGCACCCAGGGGATGCACACACCAGGAGCCCCAGCAGCCGGGACCTTGAAGAGGTGGGAGCCTGGCGACGGGGAGACGCAGATTGGCGGGTGAGGCAGCTGCCCTGGCCTCAGGGGTCTGAGTGCTGCTGGCTGTGAACATGGAGGACAGAATGGGGCAGGTGTGGACATGGGGAGGGAGGGGCCAGGGCCACGCTGACTTGAGCACCCCTGAACCCTCCAGCTGGCCATCTGCCCTCAAGGACACAGACAGGGGGCTCATGGTGGCTGTAGGATGGACCTGGTTCAGGCTCTTCTAAAGGAGAGGGGAGCTGGCATCAGAACGTGAGCCTCAGGACCTGCGGTGGCTGATGCCAAAGGGGTGAGCATCGGCCCTCCCTCCGGCACACCCACGAGCTGTCCTTCCTGCCTGTGATGGCAGAAGAGGGAGAAACAAGAAGGCCGCCATACAGAGGGCCACTGGCAGATGGCTGGCCAGGCAAGGAAGGCCAAGGCTGTCCAGATGTGGAAGAGGATGAAGTCCCCCAGAGCTACCTCCATCTCACAGCAAARAGCCCACAGACAAGAGGGCGCCTGCAGGACTCCAGGGCTCACAAGCTAGGTCACCCTAACAAGGGGACAGGGCCCAGAGTGGACAGGGAGTGGAGACAAAGATGTGAGGGATCCGGGGCAACTCAGAAGGGACAAGGGCAAAGCGGGCATAAGCGGTCATCCAAGGTGGGATGTGCTGGGCAGTGTGCGTCTCCATGAGACCGAATCATCAAGGGAAGCAGGAAGAGGACAAGCGGCAGAGGGTGGGTAAGGCCTATATTCACTGCAAATATAAAACTATCTTGGATAAGGGAGGAGGAGGAAGGGGAGGAAGGGGAGGAAGGGGAGGAAG